CCCCAAAACCCCAAAACCCCAGGGTCTGAATGGCTAGTATTTAATAGAAAATGGAAATTAAATTCCAGTGAGTATATATTTATTAGCAACCATCGTAATGGGACTTAATATGTATTTTAAAGTGGGACCTCTCAAAAAATAAAGTGATTTATGTGGATCAGGCAGTTACCTGCGGCGTACCAATCCCCATTTTCAAAATGAATTCAATGGTGGTACTAATTCATCATTATAATTTTTATAGTAGCAGGAAAGGATTCCAACTACTGATGAAGTACTTTTCTCTTGTCATCGTTCATATATGAGAGTGTTTTATTTTAAACTTTTATGGGTCAATTAAACTTAAATTTATCAGTAATATTACAAATATTATAGACAACTAATCCAAATATTCTGCTATTCTCTCAAAGCTATAAAACTTTTCATTCTTTGTTTCGATAATCATCTGGAGTATATTTGAGATAGTTATGATCCCAAGCATAGAATGGTCCCATTTTCCAATCATTTTTCATGAAGGCTTAGCCATTGTTTAGCTCAGGCACATCCTAGTACGCATCGATAGCATTACCAACCAAGAGCATTCGATTCAGTCTTTTGTCTTTATTATACTCAGGCTATGCAACTTTCATCCCACATCTAGCGTAATCTTTCCAATCTTTGTGGCCTCTCGCAGCAAGCATACTCTGCTTCAATGTTTCTTTATTGGCATGATCAGTCCTAAAATAATAATGAGCTATCATTCATAATGAAATTTCATTACTTCTTCTTAAACATATCGTATGTTGCCTCTTCCTAAGTATAATCGTAGAGCACTCGCTCTGACTTAGCAAACTAAATTTTTCTAGTCAATTACCGTTTAGTTTGACGAGCAAAGTCTAATTCTTATTCAATGTATTCATCCACAGGCATTGAGGCAGTGTTAAACATTCTTTTCTCACTCTAGATATTCTTTAATTCCCCGTTTGGGAGCATCAACGATGGCCAGTATTCCAGAGTTCTCTAGTTCGAGTCACTAAAAACAAGTTCAACCATGACCTTATAAGCTGTTGAGTGTTTCAAGTTGTGAAGGTTATATGCTCCTGCCAGATTATCATCTATCCTGTCCTTGAACACAAGTTTATTATATTCGCCAATCTTTTTCAGAGATGATATATTTTTAGTTGAACCGATTTACCAAAGAGTAATCTAAATTGTAGCGGTTGATCTTTATGAATACAAAAGCATACCTCATATCAATTTATATCCTTTTTGAGGATAGCCATTGGAGGATCAAATTCAACTGTAGCTTTGGAAGAGGAGACATTACAAATATCAATCCATATTGTTTTTCTATTGGCATCAAGAAGTGACATTAATATTTTATTGTTAAGTTTTAAATTTTAAATTAGCAGATCATCTTACGATTATTCTTGATGGGGTTTTGGGGTTTTGGGGTTTTGGGG